GGGGGCGTGCCCTTCCCTCAAAGAACAAGCAACAGGACAAGAGGAACGGGCCTCAAGTTGCCCCAGGGGATGTTGAGGTTGTCCCTGAGGAACAATTTGTTGCCCTTGAGGGTTGTCCAGGGCTGTGCCAGGCTGCCCAGGACAGCGGTGGAGTCCCCATCCCTGGAGGGGTTTCCAAGCCGTGGAGCTGTGGTGCTGAGGGACACGGGTCAGTGGGGACCTGACAGTGCTGGGGGATGTTTGGACTCTGTGACATTAAAGGTCTTTTCTGGCCAAAGGACTCCGTGATTCAGGAAAAGTCCCACTAAAGCAGTGCTAACGAGCAGCCACACCAGACAAGCGCGTTTGAACACGGGCTGACCGACCTCGAGGGATTTGCTCTCATACTCCTTCATGGCAGTGATGCACTGGTGCTTGGTGTTGATGTTGGTGCTGACGCCGGATTTCACCATGGTATCGGTGCCGGTGGGTGGCTGCAAGGGCAGAGGTTAAGATCTCAAATCTCAAATCCAGACAGAGCCTTTCTGACACTCCCCCCAGACTCTGTTCAGGCCTCTATTCAGTGCAGGACCTGGCACGGTGCACTCCTGTTACCTGTGCTGTGGCCTCACCCAGCACCAAGTCACATTTGAGAGCAGTCAGCAGTGGAATTTACCCAAGTGGCATCCAAATCAACACACTGCAGCTCAATTTTCAGCTATGTTACTTAAACTTGTGATCCAAATTCTCTAGATTGCATTATCTCCCGTTTTTTGACTGTACTATGAAACGACAGGCAGTCTGAGTGTCATTGATTTAAGGTATCATCACAGTTCTGTCCACATCCCAAAACAACAAAGCCTCAGTCTGTTGAATCAGCTCAGTCTAGAAATGAAAAGGGTCGAGATTTGCGTGGACAAGTATTTGGGAACAAGAATTCCTCTTTCCAGCAGATCCCAGTTACCCATTTCCACAATGGCTGCTTTTTGGTCTAGTTGCAATGTCCCTGCCCATGGCAGGGGGTCTGGAAGCAGATGACCTTTAACAGTTCCTTCCAACCCAACCCAGGCTGTGACTCTGATTTTGAACCATCACTGAACTTTCTTGACCTTATTCAACCACCTCATAACAGGAATTCATCTGGGAAACACAAGGAATCAGGCTCCACATTTCCATTTACATTTCCAAAGCCATGCTGACTTATGATAGAATTATTTTGTACCATTCCGAGCTGATTTTAACACTTATTACTGTTCGCATTTGGTGATGATCTCTCTGAATTCTCTGGCATTTCCCTGATGAGGTTTTATTTTAGGAGCTGTTTTACCTCTTCAGTTTTAACACAGCTCTGAATCTAAGTAAAAAAACCTTGTAAACTTCATCTAGACAGGGTGTGAGAAATCTGTCAGACTAAAAGCCTAGCTCATTGGAACTTATTATACAACCTGTTTTCCCTGCAAGTGTTCCATTAAAGGGGATGTTTTCAAATAATTTCAGAACCTTGTGTCCCTGCAGATGACTCATGAGACCAAGCCAACACTTTACACAGCCCCAAAATATAACATTTCCTCCGTTCAGATTGACAAGGAAAAACAGAACTTACGTTAAATTTAATAGTCGTGCCAGTTGGAGCAGTGGTAAAACTGGTCGGGCCAAAAAGGGAGCCAGAGGTACTCCCAAAAGGGTTGGAAGTGGTGTTGGTGGTTCCGAAGAGCCCTCCGCTGCTCGTACTGGTTCCAAAGTCTTAAAAAAAACAGAAAAAAATTGGGACCAAAGCAAAACTGAACTTCAGAACTTAGAGCCAAATATTTCACTCAGCTTACAAAATAATTTGGAAATGGAAGAAAATTATAGAAAAATAATTTCCAGCAGTGCTGGGAATCAATTGTTTGCTAATACTGTATTGTGCCCCTCCTCATCACCCTGGGAAATACTAAAAAAAAAAAAACTAAATCACACAACAGCCACTTTCAGTCTACTCCTGACAAGGCAAAGACAACTCCGTGCATAACTGGGAGAAGAAAGTTTCTTCTCCCTACTCTAAAGGGTCTCTCAAGAGTTGCTTCTGCTTTCGGGAATTATAATATAGTTGAAGAGACATTTACTGGCTTGGGTCAGCACCAGTGTGGCCAGCAGGAGAGGGGGAGGCTGCTCCTCGAATCCTCAGGTGAGTTTTGGGCCCCTCCCTCCAAGAATGGCCTTGAGGGGCTGGAACATGGCCAGAAAAGGGCAACAAAGCTGCTGGGGAAGGGTCTAGAGCCCAAGTGTGGGGAGGAGCAGCTGAGGGAGCTGGGGGTGCTGAGCCTGGAGAAGAGGAGGCTCAGGGGAGACCTTCTGGCTCTCCACAGCCCCTTATCAGGACGCTGGAGCCAGGTGGGGGTCGGGCTCTTCTCCTGAGGAACAAGGGACAGCACAAGAGGAAACGGCCTCCCAGTTGCCCCAGGGGAGGTTGAGGTTGGCCCTGAGGAACAATTTCTTGTCCTGGAGAGCTGTCCAGGGCTGTGCCATGTTGTCCAGGGCTGTGCCATGTTGCCCAGGGCAGGGGTGGAGTCCTCATCCCTGGAGGGGTTTCCAAGCCCTGGAGATGTGGTGCTGAGGGACATGGGTCAGTGGGGACCTGGCAGTGCTGGGGGAATAGTTGGACTATTACCCCAAAGGTCTTTTCCAACCAAAATGATTCTGTGGTTCTAGCATTTCCAGTATTCCAGCACCATAAACAAAAACAACTAGAATTGCTCTACTACAGCAGAATAAAAAGCTAAGACCAAGCAGCACCAGAAGATATTTCAAGCAGGAGCTGATGAGCTTCTCCAACTTTAAAACTCACAGCTAGAATCACAGCTACAGGTCCTGTAGCTGTCTCTCAGATACTGCAAACCACATTAATGTCATTGTATCAGAGACAGTCACCAGTCCCCCCCAGTGACCCCAGCTGCAGAGCCAGGGCACTCTGTGCTCCTCAGCCAAAGGGAAAAAGGAGCAGTCCAGAGCTGCAGCAGCTCCTACTCACTCCCGAAGCCGGCGGGTTTGTTCTGAGCGAAGGCATTGTTCTGGGAGAAGAGGCCTCCGCCAGTGCTGGTGGTGCCAAAGAGGCTGTTGGACGTCCCGGTCGAGGTTCCGAACCCAAAGCTGGTGCTTGTGGAGGAGGTGGCTGGTTGGTTGAATGTTGTGGAACCAAATAATCCTCCTGAAGGCACAAACAAAGGCATTCAAACACACTCGTCATAGTTTGAATCATCAGTTGCTTGGGGTGTTTTTTTTTTTTGTTGTTTTGCGGTTTCTGGGGGTTTTTGTTTGGGGGGTGGTTGTTGGTTTTGTTGATGGTTCTTTGAGGTTTTTTTTTTAATCTTTTCCTGTCCCTCCCCTTTCTTCAATACCATCCCTCTGTCAGGATTACATCCCTGCTGTATCCCAGCAGTACCTGGTTTTGTCTGGGTGGTCCCGAAGAGGCTCCCAGTGTTATTGTTTGAGCCGAAGGCTGACGTGCCGAACGCTCCTCCACTCGTCGTGCCAAAGCCAGCACCTGAAAACGCAGCGTTAGAGTTCAGGTGGAACCACGTTCCAAACACAGGGGCTAGAAACCAAACACCAGCACTGCCGTTTTTAACTTCCCAGAAGTTTGTGCACAACCACCTGTGATGTCAATGTCTCAGATATGTGAAGTGGTATAAGTAAGAGTTCTTGAAGCAAAAAGCTATAGTATTTCAAAGTACGATGGAGTGTTCTGGGTGGGAAGGGGCCTTTCAAGGGCATCCAGTCCAACCCCCCTTGCACTGAGCAGGGACATCTGCAACTAGAGCAGGTTGCTCACAGCCCTGGCCAATCTCACCTCTTGGGGCAACCTGGGCCAGGGGCTCATCACCCTCAGCATTAAAAATTCCTTCTCTGTCAGGAACTGGGAGTCAGTCATACTAAAGACACTCCTCTGCAAGGCCTCCACTGCTTTTTATGGCACTTGGAAGTTGCTCTTGTCACACTGTGGTTCAGGAGCAAGATAAACAGAATTGTTGTTTCCTTAGTAACAGGCAGAGCGTGGGCACCAGTTCAGCATCTGCTTTAATGGCTGAAGCTGAACGGAGGCTGGAGCCAGGTGGGGTCAGGCTCTTCTCCCAAGGAACAAGGGACAGGACAAGAGGAAAGGGCCTCAAGTTGCCCCAGGGGAGGTTGAGGTTGTCCCTGAGGAACAATTTCTTGCCCTGGAGGGTTGTCCAGGGCTGTGGCAGGCTGCCCAGGGCAGTGGTGGAGTCCCCATCCCTGGAGGGGTTTCCAAGCCCTGGGGATGTGGTGCTGAGGGACACGGGTCAGTGAGGAACCTTTCCCCCACCCTGGCCAGGCAGCCTTTACAGAAGCACTCGAGTTCCCACCCCGTTTATAAAGGGAAGTTTCAACAGCTCTCCATGGAATTCTGGTATCTCCCCAAATCAGAAGCTTGGTCCGAGGAGAAGCCCAGGGGTCCTGACACCGATGGGCTGGGAAGCAAGGCAAGTGGCCAGCCCAGCAGCACCCCAAGAATGCCCACCCGTGGCTGGTCCTCTAGGAAAGACCCCTCAGTCTCTGACAAGCCCCTTTCAACCCACTACTCACTTTGGCCAAATGTTGAAGTCGTCCCAAATCCAGTGCTGCCTCCAAACGGAGTTCCAAACGATTTGTTGAACATTTTCAGCTTTTTCCTCTAAATCTGGCAAGAAAAGTTCAGCTTTATTTAACACTTATCTCAAACTCATTGTTTACCTCCCTCGTCTCCAATGTGACCCAACTAATCTGAGTCCTTATGCTGGAAAACGCAGGACATTGTTTCAAGTTACAGCAAGGAATGTAAAACCTGGTCAGAACCTCAGAAGGGACGAGAACACTCACTGTGTTCTGTGGTGACTTCACAATTACTTGCCTCCCACCCTTCACTACAGCTGGGTTTTCTGCATGCCTCCAAAAACACGACCCAACAAAACGACCACCGATCCACACAGCCTCCAAACCTTCTGGGAAACCTTGGGCAGAGCTGCCCGTGGGGGTTGCTGCGATGTCTGACCCTCATCAGGCAACTCAAACCTGTCTTCTCAGCCCCACACTCCAGTGTGCAGGGTGGACAGAGGATTCCAGGGGCAGAAGGATCCTCTGAGGATCCTGGCGAGTCCCACCACCTGTTCCGTCCCCAACTGGCAACTGCTTCAAACAAGACAGGGAGCAGAAACGCCCCACGGGAGAGCAGCGGGACCCTCCCGCCGGCCGGTCATTGCTCAGGGGCCGCACAGGGGTTTTCTGAACTTGTTAAAAGCTGCGGGGGTTAAACACCCACTCCAAGGAGGTTCACCCCACTCCTGACTAAATTTAATTTTACAACACCCTGGCTCAGTTTTCGGACCAGACTTGTTTAAACTCTTCACCAGTGATCCAAGCAAGGGTACCACAGCACACTCAGGAGTTCAAAGATGCCAAATTGAGCGGGAGTGCTGAGGTGCTCCAGGCTTGGAGGCTCCACAGAGAGACCTGCCCAGGCTGGATGGATGAGATGAGATTCAACCAGGCCAAGGACCAGGTCACAGCCACCCCCTGCAGCGCTCCAGGCTGGGGCAGAGGGGCTGGAAAGTGGCCCAGGGAAAGGACCTGGGGGGTTGGTGGACAGGCAGCTGGAGATGAGGCAGCGGGTGCCCAGGGGGCCAGGAAGGCCACCAGCATCCTGGCTTGGGTCAGCACCAGTGTGGCCAGCAGGAGCAGGACAGGGATCGTCCCCCTGCACTGGGGAGGCTGCCCCTGGAATCCTGGGGTCAGTTTTGGGTCCTCCCTCCCAGAAGGCCCTTGAGGGGCTGGAATGTGGCCAGAGAAGGGCAACGGAGCTGCTGGGGAAGGGTCTAGAGCCCAAGTGTAGGGAGGAGCAGCTGAGGGGCCTGTTTCAGAGGGAACCCGAGTTCCCTCTGAAGAAGAGGAGGCTCAGGAGACAGCTTATTGCTCTCTACAGCTCCCTGACAGGAGATGATTTTAGAGGTATTTTCCAGCCTTCATGATCTGATGATTCAATTACTACCTTTGATCACTTGGCCCCTCAGCAGATCTCGCTTAAGGGCATATACAAAGCGTCCATGCAACTTTAAGGTGGAGGTGCTCTTGAACTTATTTACAACAATTAGCACCCCTCTTCTTTCACTCATTTATTTTATATATACATACACACCATATAAATTAATACAACAATTACATACTACATATTATTTTCCTTATTTATGCCCCTGCTCTCTCAAAGTCACCACACTGAGGATTCTTTAATGCTAAATTCTACTTCAGAAAAGATTCAAATCCAGAAAAAATTCTAACTCCGAAGCACAAACAACTCACAAGAAGATTTCACCCTCTTGCAGGGTCTGAGGGTTCGTTTTCGATGCCCACCCTTCCTTATCTACTGACCCCAGCAGCTCAGCTTCAGCCCAAAGAGAACCAGCGAATCACAAAGGCTGGAAAAGCCCTCTAAGATCATCAAGCTCAACCATCAACACTCTCATGACCATTCAACCATGCACCCAAGTGCCATGCCCATAGTTTTTCTGAACCCCTGCAGGGCTAGGGACTTCAGCACCTCCCTGGGCAGCCTGGGCCAAGGCCTCACGACTCTACCAGGATAGAAATTCTGCCTCAGATCCAATGGAAACTTCCCCTGGGGCAACTTCAGCCCAGTGCCTCTCGTCCTATCACTGGTTACCTGGGAGAAGAGCCCGACTCCTGCCTGGCTCCAGCCTCCTGTCAGGGACCTGTGTGGAGAGCCAGAAGGTCTCCCCTGAGCCTCCTTTGCTCCAGGCTCAGCACCCCCCGCTCCCTCAGCTGCTCCTCACCACACTTGGGCTCTAGAGCAGCGTCTTTGCCCTTCTCTGCCCCCCAGCCAGTTTTTAACCCAGGGTTTCCCTGGTTCCTGACACCATGGTCATCTCTGAGCCTCCGCTGCGGGGGGACACCACATATAGCCAACAGGCTCCCAGCTGCATGTGGCAAACGTCGCATTCATCTACCAGGATTCAAGCTGACCCAAGACAACACACTCAGAGCCCCAGAGCCCTGACAGCAGCTCCAAAGAGAAGAAAAGCTAGAGGATGATTAATAAAAACCTATGCTTTTTAACACCAGTTCTCCCCCCTTTGCTGGCCACCCTCTCCAGGTGCCATGGAATCGACCCCTTGCTCCTCAACGGCTCTAATTATAGCTTTACCACATCACCAAAACCTCCAGCCAAACACACCAAAAATAAATTAAATGATTAACACAACTTTCCATAACTCTGCCGACAGTCTCATCCCC